CTAAATCTCGTCCTGATTTTACTATAATCGCCCTTAACTAAAACCTAAAATTACCTAATTGTCCTTAGTTAAATTAAATGAGAATAACCAACGGCAATCCCCTTTTTCTTTACTGGCGTCTCCACTACTCTTTCATCACCTAGTGTCGCAGGCCGTAGCTGCTTCCTCGGACCTCGACCGCCGGTGCTCCCTCCGCCTTCCTACCACCATCCCCAAGCATGAAGTTCCTCACACCGCCGGTGCTCCCTCCACCAGAAAAGTCGATGTTGCTCCCACCGCCATCCCAAAACATGAAGTTAGTCCTCCTCATACCGTCGGTGCTCCCTCCACAAAAGAAAGTCGTCGTTGCTCCCACCACCACCACCTACCGTTGAATCCAAGGCTAGCGTCGTGCTTGCTTCTCCGATTCCATTGAGCTTGACATGCAAAATTCAAATTAACGAAATTCTCCGTAGATCTAACGGTTGCAGTAACTGCTATACCTCCACCGCAACAGCCGGTTTCAAGTCCTTCTGCTGCGGCATCTAATTCTCTGTTTTTTTCCGAGATACAAGCCAAGAGGGCATAGAAAATATTTGTGTTTTTCTCTTGTTGGATTGTGTTCCGAGGAGTAAAATATATCTTTAGATTAAAAATACAATAGGATAAAAAAGTAATTTGAACTTTTTAAATTAGGGCGATTATAAAAATTGATTATAAAAATTTGGACGATATTTAGGTGCAGCCTTGGTTGTAGGCAATCCTGCAGCCCGGCCAAATGTCATTCCATAATTAGTTCATTTTTCTACTTAATTTTTCTTTTTTAAATGTTGAAATAATGCAATGGAAGTCGTTATAGAACTTGTTTACATTACGTTTCTTTTATTTAAGATACAAATAGTGACTAAGTTCAAATAAATAAATAAAATGTTAAGGAACATCTAACGTGATAGTCAACATCGAGTTATGCTATAAGCATTTCGTTGGATTTACACCTTACATAACTTAATGTTAATACTTAATACTAATTACGTAAAATGTACGTCATATATTACCTAAGTTTTACACAATACCATTATATAAATATTACATAAGATAAATATATGTTACATATATTACATAGTGACTAGTATATTTTGGAGGGGCATATCGGATTCAGGTTGTGCAATTTATCAAAGGGCACGGATCAGAGCAGGTCAGGGCAAGTAAAGTTTATGAGAGTACTCATGCACGCCATACCGCAAAACAATCAAACGGGTTGGATTATTAGAGTTAGGTATAATTTGTCATCTCTATCAACCTCGAAATTTGGTTTAGTTTTTTTTCCTTTCCCTTTGGTTTAAATGGAAATAGTGAATAAAGCAAATGAGAGAAAAATACCAGGTATTGAAAAACCTTACCGTATTGAAGGTTCGACTAGGAAAAACTCCTATCGAGAGGAAAATTGATTGGTGATATTAATCCGTATGAAACAGTTATCACTACAGGAAAAAGACCATTTAAGCACGGTGAATCCCGTGTTTGAAAGTGTGTTTCCCGTGTTTAATAGTTTTATTCACGGTAAAATTACCGTAATATATACCTCTGTGTCTAATTGTAAAGGTCACAGGAAACTCGTACCGTGACTAATTATAACTAGTCACGGCATAATTTCCTGTGATGATTTGTACCTATTGATCACGGGATGTCCCGTGTCCAGTGCATAAAATTGGAGCACAATAACAGGGAAAATAAGTAATTTAGACACGGGATGTACACATTTTAACACAGTACTGACTGTGATAAAATCGTTTCCCGTGATTATATGTCAATCACTAATCACTGTATTTACAGTGGCAAAATCAGTTCCTGTGACTAGATGTGGATCACTAATCACGGTATTTACTGTGGCAAAATCAGTTCCCGTAACTAGATGTCGATTAATGATAACAGTATTTCCTGTGACTAGATGTGGATCATTAATCACGGTATTGTACTACCAAGTTTTGCCGTGACTACATATACACTACTATACACGGTATTCCCTGTACCTAATTACAAATCATTGGTCACTGCATTTTCCCATGACTACAAACAAACCACTAGTCACAGTCTTTTTCGTGGCTAGATACAAGCCAATAATTATGAAAATGAGTTATATTAAAGTTTCCTGTCAATAATGAATGTAAATAGAACATCGTCTTATCAACAATAATCAAAAGAGTTCCAAATAGTATTTTCTAACATCATAATAATAATAATAATAATAATAATAATAATCAAAAGAGTTCCAAACAATAGCTTATACAAGTTCCGTGCTTCTTGTGTAGACACCATCTACTTGGAAGCTGCAAAAGGGTGATATGAGACAGTTCCAGCTTGAGAGCCGAATCCAGCAAACTCCATCTCATTGGAAACTTCATCCCAATACCTCTAACATCATGAGTACATAATCTGAAAAGCAAAAGGGACTTATGATTTATTACATAGAACAAGTACACTGCTCCCATATAAAGTATCTTCTAACATCATACAAATCCTTATATTTAGTTTACTGTAATTCAAATCCATCTTGCCCATGTAACAAAACAAAATGAAAATTTCCATTCACTATCACAAGTCACAACTACCAAAAATTATTCCTGTTGTTGAGAGCTTTGACAAAGATACTAACCTGCAGTTGACAGCAAAACTAGACAATCTTCCATAATGACAACTGGGCAGAACACGGACTGTAGTAAAATAAAAAGAAGACAAAAGATTGTAATGTTAGAATAATATTCATACCCGACAACAGAATCAACAGTAGGAGAGATTCAAAAAATCAAGAGAAACCATACCAATCCATAGGTTCAACCAATTCTATGATTCGCCAGTGTTATGTTCCTTTGGCAACACATCCATGGCTCGAGGTGGCACCTTTATTGCCAAGTGCCAGTTCTTATTAACATTGTCTTCTGCATAAAATACTTGGGACACTTGACTTGCTAGGACAAATGGCTCATTTGTCTTCAACATTCTATTCAAGTTAACACTCACAAAACCATGTTCATCCACTTTCAACCCTTTTTGTCTTATCATAGACATCGCACCAATCACACCTAAACAAAGCTAATGATCTTCCTCCAAGAAATTTCAGCTCAATGACCTCTCTTAAAACCCCATAGTAGTCTATAGCATTCACATCGACTCCATCATTACCAACTACAACGACTCCATTATTTTGAGTACTCAAATTTTTGTCATAATCCTTTGTGTGAAAACGAAAACCATTTAGGACATAAACTGTATAACACTTGACACTTTGAGCAGGGCCTCGTGATAGTGACAATAGGTCATCCAATCTCTTACTTTTGTTATGTTCATAAGAGTTTGCAACCTGCAATAAAGGTTTTGATACAATTTAAGAACATAAAGTTAATAATAATAGTTCACTATGACATATCTGCTAAACAAAAATCTATCAACAAACTAATAGAAGCTGTGCAAATTGAAATTATCGAGTCTTAGATATTAACTAGGAGGAAAGGAGCTTACTTTTTCCCTGACCCAAGAATGAAGCTTGCATCATCCTCCTTATAGTTTCCTCCCAACAAATCATGCTCACAAAGATGACTAAATTCTCTACAATGTGCAATAACATAATTATAAATTAAGAAGCTTGAACAAACAAAGAGATAGTTAAAACAATAATGAAAACCCTTACTCGAAAAATGGTTGGGACAACACCATAAGTGACTAAATGTGCAGTTACTGTCGCACGTGTTCCTGACTTTCCATTGCAACACTTCACACATGGACATCTAATCTCCCTGCCCATACTCCTTTGGAATGCATAATCTAAAAAATCTGAAACTCCATGTTTATAATATTCACTAAGTCTATTGTCGACAAGCATCCAAGTTTTGATTGGTGCCATTTCCGAAAACACTACATAAATGTCATAAACTACTGAACTTGTTCACAAGATAATACACATAAACCTAAAAATGCTTAGAGAGTAACAGAGTAGCATAACACACGCACCTGGATTTTCTAAGTTTGGCCGAGGAAGATTATTTCCTAATCAGTAGCCGACAGCAGCAGCATTCTGCTCCACAAAAGCTTAGCTCCTGTCCGATTGCAGCCCCTCTCCACAGCAGTAGCGTCGTTCCGCTCCACACAGCGGCACCACTTTTGTATGACAGCAGCCCTGCTCCACAGCAGCAGCGCGCTCCTCTCTCTGACAGCGCCGCTCCTCCTGGACAGCAGCCTCCCGAGAACGCAGAAAAAGACCTCGAATTCAATGGAATGGAGCCATGAATCGAGAACACATAGTATGAGGAAAAGATGTGCTTTTCATATCAGGGCTGGTTATGAGAAGGGGGTGAAGGAACGTAGAGAAAGAAAGAAAGGGAAAGTGAAATTAGGTTAAGAACGAAGGGAATGGGAAAGGCTCGCATCGTACATGAGAAAGGGATAAAAAGAGATGTGAAAAACGTGAAATTAGGTTAGAATGGGAAAGGCTCGCATAGTACATGTGAAAGGGAGAAAAGCAAGATGTGTAAAAAATCCAAAGTCATGGTTTGAACTCTGGCAATTAGAATTAGAATTGTAAATTAACAACTTAACCACCAGGCTAAACACCAATTTACGGATATGTCTTGCTTAATAGTTAATTAATCTAAATTATAAAAAACGTCTCAAACCTTATAATCATTGATGATGGTCTCTTTTTAAATATTATCACAACTGTAAAATATAGTACTCCAATATCTTAATAAAAGGAAAAAAAAAATTACACCAACCTTGATGCAAATTATTCCATAAGAAAGCATATTTAAAAAGATGGTTAGATTGAAGGTTTAATTTTGCTAGAATGGTTAGAAATCATATTTCACAAGTGCAAAATGTGGGAATGAAAATCTGGGCAATGGATTGAGGTCCATGAGTTCATTGGTAAAATGGGATTGGGGTGGAGGACCATACTTCTCTATGCAATAATGTAACTTAACAAGCAGCAACATGCAGTTCTGAACTTTCAATTTTAATTTATAGAAGTTTGCACACTTTGTCCATAACACAAAATTAGTCAAACGATTTCTACTACTTATATATACTACATCAGTAGCTAGAGGAGATTATCATTCTCCTCATCATTAGTAGGAGGAGTTTTAGATATTTCTAATCATCCCAAAAACTAATCAACTATTACATGACACCCATCCAAAATCTACAACAAACATCTAAAACTCCTCAACGTCTAATCTAGAGTTATATTTCATCTTCCCTCCAGAAGCAAAATCTTGGTGTCATGAATCACATCAAAGCCTACTCCACAATTCCATACCTGCCATAAGAAAGGATAGAATCAGTTTTGAGACACCAGCCGAAAATAAAGCATAAAAAAGAAGCACCACATTTGGACATAAGAGCAATTTTGATTAGTAAAGGATGCACACCTAAGGTTGACCATTTTGATTAGTTGTTGGGCTGCCAGACCTTTGGTTCATCCTTTCCATCATCTCTCTCATTTCAGAGATAACTTTAGCTTGCTCTGCTATTACAGCTGCCAGGTCTGCCTTCTCTCCATTTGATTCCCTTAGTTTGCTTGCCAATTCTGCCCTACTTAATGCATCTGGACCCTTCAAATCCTTAGGCCTCAATCCACCTCCAAACCCAATTATATGTCCATGTCTTTGTTCTCCATAACATATTTCTACCAACTCCACAGGCTCCAAGTCTGGATTAGCTTCACGTGTTTCAACAAGTACAGCCTATCAAAATCAAAGGGAGTTAGCAATCATAAACCATATTAGCAGTCATATGAACATAACTCGAAACTTGAATAACTAATATTACATGTCTTTCTTTTGTTGCTTGTTCTTTTATTTCACCATTGCTCTTGTGTGTCTCAAAAAACACTTTATCTATAGTCGGAGGAGTTCCATCTTTTCCACCCTAGAAACATGGTCAAATGGAACCAGAATCATTAACTTAAGCCAACCAGTAAGCCAAATAATCAAATCATTCACACTTAAGCCATCTAATCACATCAGCATTCTCATTCAAAGAAAATAAAGCAATACTTCTTCAAAATAACAGAACCATACACAGAAACAACACTTCTGCAAAATAACATGGTACACGGAAACAACATTTCAGCAAAATTGACAGAAGCAGAAACAGAGACAACACTTCTGCAAAATAGCACCATACACAGGAAAAACAATTCTGCAAAATAACAGAAGCAGAAATAGAACCATACAATTCTGCACTATAAATTAACAAGCTATATAAACAAACATGGCAGCAACATAAACACAAAATGGCAGCAACAGAAACAAACATAAACACATTCCATAAACAATTCTGCACTGCAAATTATGTCCTGCAGCTGCAAATGCAAGTTACAGATGTTACCATCTCATAAAAGTACTCTCGATTAGGCTTGCTACCACTATGATGATTCATAGTTTTCTTCATTCTATTCAATGCATTGTTTTTGCTCAATTTCTGCAGTGAAAGGAAAGAAATTAGAAAAACTCATTTAAATAAATCATACGAAATCAATATGAAGAAATTTGTGTAACAACCTGGAACTCATTAGTGTAGAAAACGTTTGAAACACACCATTCCCAATCTTCTTTGTTACCTACTGCATCTGGCTTATTTTTCAGAGCCTCTTCTTCACAACCACATGGCTTTGCATACTCACGATACAAAACAGATCTCCATTTGTTCCATCGATCCCGCATATGAATTAGGGTATGATACTTGAAGTCTATCATATTGGGATTATAAAAATATTCCTGCAATTGTTATGATAATTAACTTTAGATCTCTTTAAACACTCCTCAAAATGATAACATGAAAAACTTGGCAGTTAAGAATCATAAGACACAATTGCAGGATGTTTCATACCGTAAGTGCAGCCCACATGTGCTCGAGTTCTGCCCGACTCTTGGACTTCCATCTTCTTGTTCTGAACGAACAAATCTGGGGGTTCCTAACAATCAAACCAATAAAGCTTGACCAAGTTGCTCTATTTGGTCCAGCAGCACGATTGTTGTAGAAGGCAATAGGCAGCTTCTCACCACGCCTAAGTCTAGCAACGGCCTTACAGATGCTTTTCCCTCGTACATTTTTCGGTCTAACTGCAATTCCAAGAGGGTGCAAAACCCAGCATCAACAAATCAACAAAACCAGCATATTCAATCCAGCAATGAACTAAATACAGAATTTTAAACTTGCCTCTTTCAGTTGATTCTTCATTAGCAGCCAAGTTTGCAGCAGCTTCCAAGTTCGCAGCAGGTTCAACTTGTGCATCAACTTCCATGGTTGGTTCCTCTGGATGTACATGCATATTTCTCTCAACTGAGGGTTCCCTTGCCCTTTCTGGAACGTTATCAGTTACAACAGGGGGTTCTCTTGCCCTTTGAGGAGCTGCCAAATACAGTAAACAGTTAGTCATTTGCAGCAAAACAATGTGATAAAAAATTACAAGAGGTACCTACTAGATGAAGATATTAGGTTGGAAAACGAGGTGGGTCGATTTGGAATCCTCCTCCCAAGTGAGCCAGGGGCAACATATCTTGCTGGAGTTTTTTTGGTAACACCTTCACTCTCACGAGACTGACAAGAATTTTGAAGGTTTTGACCACCCTTCACCTTCAGGTTCTTGCTACGGTTCACCTTAACATTCTGACCACCCTTCATTATCTATTCTACAACAAAAAAACAAGAAGTTAAGGTAACTAACTACATCCGCAAATCAATGAACTATTGCAGAACAAGAAGATAACTACATCGGAGTACAAAAGACAGAATGAAATCGGAACCCCATAATGGAAATTGGAAACGATACGGTCACTTATAATTGTTTCCAAACAGAACCCATATGTGAGAAATTTAATCGATCTCCAAATTTATGTACAAATAGAACCCCAAATCATGTTGTCGATCAATATGCATGATATTAAAACATATATAGAATGAGAGGAGATTAAAGAGAGACAGGGACAAGATTGGTCTCGTACATACCTCACCTACAAGCTTGAGGGAAGGAATTCAGAAAGTAAAGGATCGGAAGTGGAAGACTGCAGGGCAGGGGAAGAACGAAGAGAGAGCGCTTCGTTTTCTTTTGGGTACTAAGAGCTCCGTTTTTTTAATTGGAAAAGGAGAGCTTCGTTTTTTTAAATTGGGAACGCAAAGTGAAAGCTTCTTTTTTTATTGCATTCTCGTTTTTATAGCTAAAGCAATAGCGGGAGAACCCCCAAATTTCAGGATGTATTGGAGCCAAAATTTTCGAGATTCACTGGAGCCTAAATTTTTGGACTTGAAGCCAAAATTTAGGAGGGAAGTTTTAGCATTTGCCGGCGGGAAGAAATTGCTGGAGTTATGGGACTTTTGGACAAATCAATTTTCAAGGACTAGTTTCATTAGGTTATTAATTAGGCAGCAAATTTTGTCCACGTTTTTTCTTTCATCCATAAATATTTTAATTCATTTTAGTTGTTAGTTGGTTCACAGCAAAATTTTAAATCACATTTTAATTCATTTCATTCATTTTTAATTCATCTTAATTTTAATTTTTGTTTTGGAAAGACAAATTGACACATTGTTCATGGTGATTAACCGTGAGTAATAATTCCTCACATTGTTCACGGTAATTAACCGTGACTAACAATTAATCACGGTAAACAAAGACTAAAAATTTGTTAGACTAATTACCGTGACTGGAATTATACAATCAATTACAGGAATATTAACCGTGATCATTAATACACTTCTTAGTACGGTAAAACTTCCCGTGAAAAAGATCCCGTGACTAGAAATCTGTTTTCCTGTAGTGTATATCACACTTAAACTACGATTTCATTATAAAATGCTCTATTACTGAATTTTATGCTACAAGTACGATTTTTTAATCTTTGAAAAATACAAACCACACAAGAAAAAACTAGCAAAAGAAATCGTTTGAAGTATATAACAATTAATTTCCGTTTTGTTACCCACATATCTCTACAACCTCAATCCATCAGACCATCACAATAACTCAACATTTAAAAAGGAAACAAGTAAAAATGGAACCAATCACGGAATGACATTTGGCCGGGCTGCAGGAATCCTACAACCAAGGTTGTACCTAAATATCGTCCTTAAAATTTAGGGCGACGTTTAGCAACCCTCATATCGCTACGTCATTATAGGAAATACATGACCATATGTGTGAGAATGTGTCACGAACCCTTCTCGTCCAAATAATTACATCATGCATGAGCCAACAATGGCTAGATTATGTATATTATTTCAATTTCACCTACTTTTGTTCTGAATCTTACCTACATTATGATCATTTCCGAATCTTTGGGCAAAGGAGGCTGTAACGGTAAAAGTGTTTTCCCCTCCTAAATGAAAGGTATTAAAACGGTGATAATCAACTAGGGATCGAGTTAGACAAAATCCATGAGATATGGAAACAAAAAAGGGGTCAGTCAATTATATATTAAAATGGGTTAGTTAGTAAGAATCAAGACTATACATGTAAATCCAATTAAATTGATCTTTGTTTGAGCGCTTGCATATGTTTCAATTCAGCGCATTGAATATTGAAACCGAGGATCAACGCATTGAATCTTGAAACTGAGGAACAATTCGATCTAACTAAATGTTACATAATATATTATTGGCGTACCTATTCAAGTCAAACACCCCAAAAAAGGTGCGATGGTTTTGGTAAATGGATGATGAACCACATTTTACAAACCATAAAGGAGCCTGTTTCACAGCGACGGATTCAGAACATAGAAGTGCAAAGGGCCGCATTTTATTAGAAAATTAGAATAGTAAAAAAAATATAATGATTATAATTTTTTTACAATGTAAATTGTACACGACGATAGTTTAATTTAGCGAATGCATTAATAATGGAGTCCACATCCATACCAATAGTATACACTGTTTCAAATAAAATACTTGAGCAATCGACTAAAAATTCATCGCTCATTTTATTGCGCAATTCAATTTTCACATGTTTCATTGTTGAAAAGATTCTATTCGTATTAGCTGTTGAAACGAGCAGCATCAACACTAGACAAATCAATCTATTAATCAATTCGCATTGTGTTTCCATCCCTAGATCCACCAGTTGCTCTAGTAAATTTTCAAGGTAACAAACCTCATATATGTTTTAGTCTTTTACGTTTTATACTTTTTGAATTTTTAGGTTTCATTGTTTTTTTAGACGAATAACTTTTGGGGTTAGAATTTATAAGCTAAATTTAGAGTAGTGATTTTGAATATGTTCATCTGAATCATTTTCTAATTATACCCAATCTTATTTTAAAATAACAACAACCCGAATATCTAAAATCAAAAAATTCATAAGGCCTATACTAATTATGGATCCAGAGGAGGGCTGGGCCGGGGCCATCCGCCACTGCTGTTTCATGCTGTATAATTTGGTGATTAACTATATAAAAGAGAAACGACAAGATTTACGTGGTAAATGTCCCCTAATCCACGAGTTAAGTTGGTTAACGTGAATGTTTTCTCATTCACCAATTAAGTTGGGGTATATGCGTATTCTCTCTTCCACCAAGTGTCAACCTCTTGAATTTCGAAAATTGACATTTATTACATATCATGGAAACAAATGGGAAGATCGATGAAACTTTTTAGACAACCTAGATTGTATGTACGTAGTTACGTTGATATGAACTAAAATCAGACTTAACTAGTAGAAGATCCTATCGATGATGAAGAAATAAAAAGAGCATCGAAAATCACACAAAAGTTCCTTCAATTCGGCTCAAGCTACCCGAATTTTGATTTAGGCTATTTTCTTTTTCTTTATTCGAAGACTACATGTGAAAAATTGGAATGTTAAGTTGAAACGAATTTAGTTATAATTTTGATATGATTCCAGCTGAATCCTGTATAAATTTGAGTGCAATTACACATATTTATATTTACATGTATATACATTAAATCGGTAAACATCTATAGCAAATAATATATATTCTTAAATCTACCTGCTAAGTAATAACATAATAAAAAATCTGAACGAGGAAACTAAAAATCTGAATTTAGAGAATTCAAATCATGATAATTGGAAAGGAGGACTGACACTTTACTAAATATTCGAGTTTTCCAATTTTATTACAGATTACATTTATTTTTACCAACATTTAAAAATTGAGAAGAGACTACGACCTTCTTACTTTTAACGTGCCTCCACCGGTGGTGCTAAGATTTGCATATGGATCTTAACCATATATAAACATGAATTTCTTTAATATCTCATCCAATCAGACGATACTAAAAATATGTCTGCGGGGGAGAATTTAGAGAAGTTTCCCGGTAGCGTGGCGGGGAGATCAGGACAGTGCACAAAATGACACAAAAGATGATCAATACCATGATGTATACACAAACATTTATTAGATTCATGCATGCACCCTGGCTAGCTATTAATCTTAATCATACGCAATTAATTAATCCTAATTGTCGATTTTCGAGTTTGGTTTAAAGTAAATTATGTGTGATTACCGGGGGTCTAAGTATCTCTGTGACTGTGATGACGAGAAATTGTACAATGCTATATAGTATTGGTGCTATAGATTTTTGCCTTTATAGTACAACTTAAAATGTTACATTTATGTTATGGTACAACTTTAAATTGTACCTATACTTTTTGTGCAAATTCTTTTATGGTACAACT